GGCGGGGGGCTCGGGGCCATGGGCACCATCCGTGGAGCTGCGGCGATGCCAGCCCTGTCCGCAGCGGCACCGGTGGGCTCAGCAGCAGGGCTCGCTGACTCCTGACCCTGGCACGGGGAGAAGGGGAGGTGGGTTATGACCTCCAAGGACAGGCAATGTCCTTCCCAGCTCCCACCACCTGGGACTCTCCAAGCTGGGGAATGTTTCCTGGTTTGCACTGCCCTTGCCCAAAAGCCTGGCTGCCCAGGCAGGGCTGGCACCGCTCCACGAAGGGGGCCAGGGTGGGCAGGATAGTGCCTGGTGAGTGGGACTGGGGACCATGTCTGGTGACCGTGGGCTGGAGGAGGGTTCCTTCCTCCAGCCACCGAATCTGCCCAATCTTTCAGCACTTAGCAGAGCCTCCTGGGTTGTGCTCCCTGGAGTAGTCATGGCCACCTTGGGATGGGACGCTCCCCCGGCGCCATGTGGTCTTGGGATCCATCTCACCATGGCACGTCTGACCTAGGGCTAAAACCATGGACAACCAGGTTTCCTGATGGGACAACACCACCTGGAATCTCTCAGGACCCGCAGAGAGCAGCTGCTCCAGGAGAAGCCTTGGAGAAACATCTCAGCGTGGTGGGGACCCCTCTCGCAAGCCACGTGTTCGCTGGGGGTCTCCACACTCAAACCTCTCCCAGGAGCCCCCTGGGCTGCCCACACCCTGCCCTGTCCTCACTGCATCTCCTGCCGGACCCGGTGCTGCCGGCGCTCCCTGCGGAGCCTCCTTTTCCAGCAGGGGATCAAAACAAACACTTCTGAGGAGAAGTGTATTGCAGTGGTGCTTGAAATAAATAACTAATTTCTCCCTACATGATCTTAAGGAGCAGGAGAGGCGTGAATAGCAGGGCCTGGTGTCGGGCTGACTGGACTCCCCGGTGCGGTAATTCAGAGGATGACAAACATAAGCCAAAGAAAAATGTTGAAAAATGGGCACTTCCCGCAGCCCTGAGCAAAGGAGCTATTGCAGGGTTTGGAAATAACGAAGGCAAAAAGAGGGAGAGGGGGGAATTTTCTCATTGAGACCAAGTGAAGTGCCAAACAAGCTGCTATTATGGTGGCTTTGAGAGGCACAGGGAGGGGGTGGCGGGGAGGAGAGCAGGGGGAAGCAGAGGAGGGAGGTGGGGGAGAAGAGAGGGAGAGAGGCCTGGAGGAGAAGGGTGGGGGACGCAGGGACGAGGGGGATGTGAGGAGCTTGCAAAGGTGCGAGGTGACACCAGGGAGACGGGTAGAGGACCAAGTTGTGTGATGGTGGTAGGGCCACCACGCACCAGCATCTCGTCCCTTGCCCTGGGTCCCCCGCACCTCCCCATCCATCCCCCGTCCTGGTCCCTGTCCACCTTCCCCCCCCTGCACCCACCACCACAAAAAGGGAAAAAAAAAAAAAAAAGGAGATGGAAAGAAGGAAAACAAAATATCTACAGTTGTCGAGACAAGGGGAGAAAAATAGAGGCAAACATCCATAATTTTCTCTGTGGGGCTTTGCAGTAATTGAGCCATTTGGATAAAAATAAAGGCAGCAGGCCCCCCTCCTCCTTTTTTAAGTACCCTGTCAAACGGCATCCGACGAGAGGAGAATTTCAGCTGTCACAACTAATTTCAGCGCGTGTGTGTGTGAAGGTGTGTGTGTCTCGGGCGGGGGGAGGCGAGTGATGGAAGCGTAGAATCACTCCTTTTTTTCCTCAGAAGGAAGATTTACATCAAAAATTTGTTTCTGGAAGTGTTTAAGGCCTGTAATTTCCTTCTTTCCCATTGCTGCCTGATGTCTTCTTCTCACTGGGCTCCTTCCCAGCCGTCCCTACCCGTCCAGTGCCAGGGCTCGCCATCACCCTCCTGGCAGCCCAGTTCCTCAGCCCCAGTTGTGCCCGAGGAGGCTCCTCCACCTCTTCCCAGGGCTTGAGGCTGCCAAAACCTGGCTCTCACAGCCCCGAGTGCCACGTTGGGTCTGGCAGCAAGAGGCTATGGCTTCTCTCTGCCAATGACCCAGGGCTGGGGGCTTTAGGCTTCAGATTTGGTCACCTTATTTTTGCAGCGCTGAGGAAAGGGGCAGCTGGAGAAAGGAGCAGCTGGTGCTGACCCTGTTGGGTCTTCCCAGCCAGGGCTAGGAGGGCAAAAAGTCCCCAAATCCAGCAAAGTCTCTGGGATATTTGTGAGAGGAAGAAGCAAAGCCCTGGGCATGGCTGGAGAAGTTGCCTCCGCCATGGTCAGAAGACGATGGGGTGGCTGCGGTGCTACCGATCATCTTGAAATACTTCCCCCATGGGCTGCATTCCCTTCTCCTAAAATAAATAAATGGGCATTTTGCTCAAGAGAATTATCCCGACTTCTGAAAGGAGGCAAGGCCGGTCATCAGCAAGCCTGGTGGTGTAACGTAGGTGACCAGCAGCAGACTCTCTGTCCCACTGAAGAAGTGTGTTCCCGGCTCTTGGAAAGCCACCAGATAATTTCATTGGCCTCAGCAATTCCCACCTGCTCATGTAGGTGCAAATGAGAGGCGTAAAACTGGAAAGAGCAAGAAACAGCTGAGAACGAGAGCCACACAACTTGGGTCGTGGTTTGAATTTTGAATTTAATACTGGGTGTTTTTGGGAAATGGTGTTGGGGCTAGCGAAATTTGGACTGTTCCAGGCTCAGCGTGCAAACCCAGCCACGCCAGGAGCTAGCTGTGGGCCACATTTTGGGAGATGACACCTCACACCCGTTTCTGCACCTGCAC